TTACGATACCTAGAACACCATGAAAGGAAGATAGGAATTATTCATGAAGAGCTCATAAAATTTTTCCAAATCAACTCAAGCTATCAATCTACCTGCAATGATTGTCATCCTATTGCTTGGAATAAGCGGTTAATACTCACTTTAAATTATGATTTATGTCCCCACTGCTTACGTTGCGATTAGTTCAGGCTTAAAATAGGATTAATACCAGCATTATATGAAAAAAAAATTAGAATCAAGTCTCGTGAGATTTACAAAATATGTTTGGTCATTTAAAACTTCGGCGTACAATCAACTGGTATTTTGTGCGAGGAGGGGGTAGGGTGGGGGTGGGGTGGGGGTGGAGGAGGGTGGCAATTGGAAAAGAATATATTTAAAACAAAACTTGTTTCATGAAATCAGATGACTCTCCACTACTGGAGTAAAATTTTGATGAGAAAACTTCTGGGCATTAGATCTATTTATTCGTGAAACAAGATCGAAAACTAAAGTGAATTCACATGCATGAATTTTATGAATTTATAATAAATGAGCTAACTTCTCTTTAATTAAGAAAAAAACGTAGAAGAGACTCTTTATATTCGACAGTTAAGTTGTATCCAAGCCATTGGTTATTGATTTTTAAACGCCTCGATTCTCATTATATGGAATCTGTAGTTGAATACGTTAGTAGCATATCACGGTCTCGAATTATGAAAAATCAATAATACATTTTCATGGAGCTTGAACTTTTATAATGGAAATATTCGAAGAGGTAGATGCATGTCAACAGAAGGTAAAAAACGGACGTTTCAAACGATCACTTAAGGATAAAGGATGAGGTTTCCACCTAGAAATTCCCCATGACCAAATTTGAATACGTGGCTTAGTACTGATACCGTAGATTCATACCATTTTATTAAATAGAAGATCACCAAATAGGCCGATAATTACTTCCAGTATTTTTTTCATATTTTTGCCTCGTTCTCACCTAATCCTCGTATTCTTACTACATTTCTTCGATATTGTGAGTGGTATATGACTATGTGCTGTCGTAATTTGGAGACAAATCATGAATTACTGTCTGGAATCAAGTTAATTGGCGCTAATTCAGGCACTAGGGGATTTGCAAGAAAAACATTTTAGATAAACCTGCTTACTTGATCTTGCAAGAGGCCTTGCTACCTTGATAATTTATTTATGTTCTACCATTCTAAAGTTGACCATTATTGGAAATACCCTTTGGAAATTCACGGGACTGGTTACTAGGTTAAGAAATCCTAAATGGAAAAGACCTTTTCCCTTAAAGCGACATTTGCACGCCTGGCTTGAAGGTGAAAACCTGATCAAATGCCCTTGAAATTCTCAAGGAATGAAGGTTTAGTTGCTAAAAGGTCATTAACCGCAGCTGAAGTTATGTGGAAACCATTCATTAAAGACTGAAATCCCTCCGCTATACTTGAATGTCTACATCCTCATCTCCGACAGCACTTTCTTTAAATGGATTGATGATTAATTTGAATTATACATGCATTAGTGATCACTGCTATATTGCTACTTGAATCTCAAAGTTTGTTTGATGATTTGTTGTGTGCGGAGGTGATTCACTCACGAAACATGGTTTTAAATCACTTGCGCATAAAAATTCAAGCCCACATGAAGGAGAACGGCACGCGCTAACCCACGGCAACTCATTGCAAATCTTGTGTGATTCTGTTTTGAACGTGTGTGTGTGTGTGTGTGTTTGCTCGATGACGCATTGGGGTCTGCTCTGATTGGATGCAGAGTGAAATGTGCTCTTTACCAGAACCAATGAGCTCACAGCGACGGCACGTATTTGACACCTAAAGTACTAACTATGGTTTTACTTTTCAGAGCACCTTAAATTGAGTGCGTGTTAGCTTATAGAAGCATTTGCCTAGGTCTTCTTTTCCTGGACTTCTCAATTATTACACTTGTTGATCGATTTAAACAAAACATCTTTACCCTACCTCGCAGCAACAAAATTTCGTAGGTTTTTCCAATTTCCCATTCAAATATTTCCATGATCTACTGTAATAATTCTTTTTACGACATATAATATGACTTCTATGCAGTTTTAATATTCTTTGCATTTAATTAATTAATCTTAAAGATTATAATTCTGTGTTCCTTTATATTTTGTGAAATAATGTAATTTTAGGTGAAAAATTCAAGGAAGATGGACAATTATCCGTACGAAGAAGGGAATTCAGGAGTGAGTTCGGAAAATATTTATTTTGACATAAAAATTTTTCCTAAAAAAATTTAACCAGGGTCAAATGTACCTTATTTCTATATCAGCTTATCAATAATAACAAAATGTAATAAAGTTTTTTTGGGATTTTTTTAAACAAAATATTCACCTCAAAAGTTATCGATTCACTAAACACTTTCAAATTATACTGCTGGAGTATTTGAAATTTTCCTTCGCTAAAGAACTTTCTATTTTACCAATTTACTCAGAAAAATCTTCTTTAAAATTATTTCTCGATGACAAATATATATATTTTTTTCATTTTTACAGGAACCATGCTTTTCTTATGAAATTCCTGGAGGCTTATTGCCCAAAGATGTCATTGAAATCACGGGACATTTTCTAGGAGATAAGTGAGTGAACTGTAATTTCTTTTTTAACTGCTATGAAAACTTTCTACTCAAAAAAATCGGGTTCTTTTCGTGAATTTTAAACCCCCCCCCCTCCCCACCACTATCCTAAATGACATCTTACCATTACATGATGACTTTCATTTTTTCATTTAATTTACACAATTTAATACATTAAGTTTTTTAATGTTAGCTAACCTAACTGAAAAATAGGAAATTTCGTGACGCAGTATGCTACTATTAAATCTTTTACAATAAGCATTACTTTTTTCTATTTTAATTAGTGGGTAAGTTTGGGAGGGGGGTTACGGAACAAGAAAATCGATTTTTTGATAGCTGATGTTAGCTAATTTTCCAAAAACAAATGTTTGCCGTATTAGGAGAAAATGGACCAATCGGAATATTCGATTCAGTCATTTTTACTTCTGGTATATCTTTTTTTAATTCCCTTTTTACATTCCCTGATTTACAGAGGTCGTCGGAAATCAACCAAGGACACAACCCACGATAAACGCATTAAAGACAAAAATAGGTATACTTTAGATTTTACAACAGTTTGGCCCGTTTTCCTTCTCACTAATCACTTCATTCAACGACTTACAATTTACGAAAGTAGCCTCAAATCGAGATTTAGTGTAAACAATTTCTTGGAAATTAATCAACCTAAATGGGCTTTCGCAAATATTTCTGACATTTTGATTTGCCTAATTATTTTTTTTGGGGCGGGGACTACATCTCTAGGAAATTTCCCCACTAATTTCTTAATAAATCTATTGTTAATAGTTTGACTAGTCAATTTCCAGTTTTGCTAATTAGTACATTTTGTTAATAGTATGCACTAAGTAAAAAGTGCATATCCTTGAATTTTCCGCTTTAATTATCCTTTTTGTTGTGGTTGTTGCTGCTGCTGCTGACAGAATTACAATTGAAGTACTTTCCGAGAAGCAAGCAGGAAACAATGAGAGCACAGCTATGCCATTACAACTCACCTTGACCGATAGAGGAAAGTGGTCAGTTATTGCTTACACGGAGAAGGTGACTCGTCAAATGATAACTGGAAATGCTCCGGCTACCGATGAGTTCCAAATTCGGATTGTTGCTTTTGAAACCGCTTTCGAGGTGAGCTCAATTATTTGCAAATGAACTTTTAATTTTACGTTTACATTATAAAGTGGAAATTTGGTTAATTTTGCTCTATTTATTACTTATGTCACTATGCGCGAGATTCTGAAGTAGAATTGGTTGGTGCTCATCTTGGTTGAGAATATTATCCCTCGCAAACGAGAGAGAGAGGTAATTCTATTGAATGTCTTCCAGATTACCGTGGTCTCCACGGTTCATGGTATCGTGGTGCCTAAGAAGAATTGGCTTTGTCTCTTTGCATTAACATTTTTTAAAACTAATTTTAGCAGATATATGTATTCTTAGGTCTGAGGTGGATGTATTTTGCTTTGAGAAACTATTAAATCGGTCTCAAATCGATTTCGTGCTAATAATAGAAGATGATGACTCTCCAATGAAATCGAGTTAAAACTGAATTTCAGCGCAAATAATAAGGAAGCCCAGGAGTTAACCTTTATGAAACTCTAGAAATCCGACTTCAAAGACAATTGACACTCAAATGCATTCAAAGTCAGCAATAAAACATATATATATATATATATATATATCAAATGGCAGACGTCTTGATGCTTATCATTAGCCCATCAGTTGACTTCAGGCTTCACAGAGGGGAAGGAACATCAAATTGAAA